AAGGGCTGGCAGAAATTACAATTTAATAAAATAAAATTTCATTACAAATACTAGTCGTATCTTGCTTGCTTGCCATGTCCAATCACCTGGAACAACCATTCTTCACTGCAGAGATGACCTTTCTTTGTAGGCTACAGCTCTATGTAAAATAGTCTAAAATGTCCACAGGTGACAATTCCAACACAATTAAAAATATAACATTTTCTTGTAAAAAAGGGCTGGCAGAAATTACAATTTAATAAAATAAAATTTCATTACAAATACTAGTCGTATCTTGCTTGCTTGCCATGTCCAATCACCTGGAACAACCATTCTTCACTGCAGAGATGACCTTTCTTTGTAGGCTACAGCTCTATGTAAAATAGTCTAAAATGTCCACAGGTGACAATTCCAACACAATTAAAAATATAACATTTTCTTGTAAAAAAGGGCTGGCAGAAATTACAATTTAATAAAATAAAATTTCATTACAAATACTAGTCGTATCTTGCTTGCTTGCCATGTCCAATCACCTGGAACAACCATTCTTCACTGCAGAGATGACCTTTCTTTGTAGGCTACAGCTCTATGTAAAATAGTCTAAAATGTCCACAGGTGACAATTCCAACACAATTAAAAATATAACATTTTCTTGTAAAAAAGGGCTGGCAGAAATTACAATTTAATAAAATAAAATTTCATTACAAATACTAGTCGTATCTTGCTTGCTTGCCATGTCCAATCACCTGGAACAACCATTCTTCACTGCAGAGATGACCTTTCTTTGTAGGCTACAGCTCTATGTAAAATAGTCTAAAATGTCCACAGGTGACAATTCCAACACAATTAAAAATATAACATTTTCTTGTAAAAAAGGGCTGGCAGAAATTACAATTTAATAAAATAAAATTTCATTACAAATACTAGTCGTATCTTGCTTGCTTGCCATGTCCAATCACCTGGAACAACCATTCTTCACTGCAGAGATGACCTTTCTTTGTAGGCTACAGCTCTATGTAAAATAGTCTAAAATGTCCACAGGTGACAATTCCAACACAATTAAAAATATAACATTTTCTTGTAAAAAAGGGCTGGCAGAAATTACAATTTAATAAAATAAAATTTCATTACAAATACTAGTCGTATCTTGCTTGCTTGCCATGTCCAATCACCTGGAACAACCATTCTTCACTGCAGAGATGACCTTTCTTTGTAGGCTACAGCTCTATGTAAAATAGTCTAAAATGTCCACAGGTGACAATTCCAACACAATTAAAAATATAACATTTTCTTGTAAAAAAGGGCTGGCAGAAATTACAATTTAATAAAATAAAATTTCATTACAAATACTAGTCGTATCTTGCTTGCTTGCCATGTCCAATCACCTGGAACAACCATTCTTCACTGCAGAGATGACCTTTCTTTGTAGGCTACAGCTCTATGTAAAATAGTCTAAAATGTCCACAGGTGACAATTCCAACACAATTAAAAATATAACATTTTCTTGTAAAAAAGGGCTGGCAGAAATTACAATTTAATAAAATAAAATTTCATTACAAATACTAGTCGTATCTTGCTTGCTTGCCATGTCCAATCACCTGGAACAACCATTCTTCACTGCAGAGATGACCTTTCTTTGTAGGCTACAGCTCTATGTAAAATAGTCTAAAATGTCCACAGGTGACAATTCCAACACAATTAAAAATATAACATTTTCTTGTAAAAAAGGGCTGGCAGAAATTACAATTTAATAAAATAAAATTTCATTACAAATACTAGTCGTATCTTGCTTGCTTGCCATGTCCAATCACCTGGAACAACCATTCTTCACTGCAGAGATGACCTTTNAATATTAATATATATTAATATAATTTGTCCATTATATGAAAATTATTGTCATTACTTACAATTATAATTTAATGAAATTAAATAAAATTAGTAATACTTAAATGGACTAAAAGCAATGCTAAATATAAATACTTTTTGTATACTTAATTTAAAAATGGCAGATAGTATATTTACAATATATATAAAATACAGAAGATACAAAAACATCTTTTTCGGAAAGGGCAGAAATGAAGAATTTTTGTATCTTCTGTATTTTATATATATATTGTAATATACTGTCTGCCATTTTTAGATTAAGTATACAATTTTTACAAGTTTTTTGTGGCTTATCATCAGTAAACATTTTAAACTGTTTTGCATATTGTAGCAGTCATAGCCTACAATGAAACGTCTTTGCTAAGGAAGACTGTATGTTAGGTATTGAAAAGAGCAAAAATGAAGACATTTTCTATCTTCTATATTTTATATATCTTATAAATATTTTTTATTAATGAAATGTTTTCAACTTGCTAAGAATTATTAGCATTTCAAACATTGGAAAAAAAATACAAGAATATTTTTTAGAACATTTTTGAACCATTGATACATATTAAGCATATATGCACAACACACATGGATGACATAACAAAGAGTGAAAATACAAATAAAATAAAAATAAATTTAGTATAAAACTTTTATCAGATTATTAACAATTTTAATGGCATTTATTATATGAAGCATGAGAATCCAAGCAGAGTTTAGTGAAACTGCTTTGCTTCTATTAACACACAGGTATTTAGAGATAATTAAAATGTAAATTTACTGTAATTTTCTAATTTTAGAACTATTGTTACATTCTTTTATGAGTGATGAAGTATCCCAGAATATCTCTACTTCTTTATCACACACAGCCAATTTGTAATTGAAGTTGCTTATGCAGCATTTGTATGTTGTTTATTCTAGTATAAGATGCTCATGAATGTAGTATATCCAGATACGTCACCACTGCCCTGCTTTATTCGCAAAGAAAAAGAGTTTTAAAGTTCCAAACATGATGAAGCATACTTGATATTTGCATTTAGACCAAGGATGGCAACCTTTTTGAATCCATGTGCCATTTAGTGAGCATAATTATCTTTAAAAATATTTGTGTGCGCAAAAGTTTTAGACTTCGAATAACAATATTTAAAGAAATGAAATGGAAATGCTTTAATTAGAATAAATGTAGATGATGATTGAAAAAAGGATGATCAGATGATAAACCAAATGGATGATTGAAAACTTGGGTGATAAACTGAAATCATATAACAAGTTACATGCCAGAAGATTTCTCCCACATGCCATAGGTTAGCCACCCCTGCTTTAGACTGCAGTCGACCACCCTATAACACAGTAGATACATTCCTGTTTTTATGAATCCAGCTTCTAGGAGTCCAGCCAATCACAGCCCAGCACATATGCAGTTTACGGACTACGGCTGTTTGAAAGGTTTCTTCCATAAAATTAATCCGATTCTAGACTAATTCGACTCAACATTTCCAAAATATGTATAATTTTTTGGGAATAATCCATATAAACTATGCTATAAACAAAAAATTGTAGGATTACTTACCAAGTGTGCACTGTTCAACTATGCCATTGCTTAAGCTTGTTTTCGTCGTGGAAATTGTCATCGAATGGTGCTTGCATGCTTCCCAATAAATTATTTTTTTTTGTGAAAAATTTGCTGAACTTTAGAGACATCATTAATATAAATATAATTTTTATGGGCGTTAAATAATAAATGGTTTTTGGTAGGTCCGTGCTCGTTTAAACTCAACAGTTTGTGCAATCCTATCACAACACGAGTTGGTGATGATGTTTTACTGAATTATAGGAGTTTTTTTAGCATGTTTGTATGAATACTGTCGCAATTTTTTCACCGTGATATAGGAATCTGAACTATAGGAACCCGTGTTATAGGGGGAGTCAACTGTATATTTTTCAATTTCTTGAATGATGTGAGGATTTTTAATCTCATTACTCTTTTGTTATGATTATTTATCCTTCCTTATACAAAAAATATTGCTTTATCATTAAATCTTCATTTCCAAAGATAACTTTCATCAACTCCAAACTTTCAACAAAGTGTCTTGGGCAACAGTGAGGTTTATTGTCCAGCTATAAATCAAATACTATAAATCTGCAGTTTATAGGAATGCAAACAATGATGATTACGAACCACCCTCTAACAGTTATTTGTGGCATACCTAACTGCAAAGACGCTTGTCCAGTTGATTTTTAAGAGCTAAGAAAATGCTTCCTGGATTCAATCATCTTGAATTAATCAGTCTTACTACTACTTTTTCTTTTTTTTTTTTGTTATTAAAAACATTACTGGTTGCTTTAATCAATGTCAGATAACATTATCTGAAGGTAAATCCCAATTCTACTTAATTACAAGTTAGTAAACAGGCTCATCTGCTGTAAGTATTAAGAAGGAAATATTTTGGGGAATCAGTTACATTATAACCAAATAATAAGTTCAATCATAAGTTTTAATTATTTTAATTGACATTTCTTTTTACTTTGTGAAGGGGCTTGCTCCCCAGAGGACAAAGCAGAGAGCTAACAAACATGCTTTTTTATGGAAATATGCTTTTTTTTTACTCATTCCATTCTGTGGATACTGAGAGGGCCGGTGTGAAAATAAGGTGAGTTATAATGGTTCATTGAAATTTGAAATATTGAAGAGGAACATTGTGCTTGAAAATACACAGGGTGTATCACTTTTTCTGATTCACATTTTATTCAGTATTATGTTTTTTTATTATGTTATTATTATGTTTATTATGTTTATTAAATAGTTTTAAAAACAAGATGTTAGTTGCTGCTATTTTTCCAAGCCTAAGTGAAGTATCCACACCATGCTGTTGGAGATATTTGGTCAATGAAGATGAAGTAAAATTAATTGTTTCTTCTATTTATTATATTTTAAGATTATCTCCCAGAATTTTCTACTCATACAGTGCTTACCAACCCTTTAGAAACGGGTAACCCTTATATCTATATAACTGCAATATAAGTAATTAAGATAAGAAATTTAATTTAAATTTTAAATATGAATCAAAATTTAATATTTACCCTTAGTTTAAAACACTATATAAAAATTGTCGTTTTATCAATATCTTTATAATATTGTAATAGAAACTTACCTTTATTATTTTTCCTTTTGTTTTTCCCCATGTTTTTCTATTTTAAATGAAATAAATAAGATTTATAAATGTAATATACATAAATTATATAAAACTGTCTTTAACACGTGTTTCCACACCATATCATAAGTCACTTGTTTCTAGTGTTACTTTCGCATTTCAAATTCGACAACAACGAAATTCAATTTATATAACTTTTAACTATTTTTTTAATTTAATGCAATAAAAACTATTTTAAAACATTTAAAAACTGTGATAAATTATTTAAATTAAATTTTTTTTATTTAATTCGAAACTACGGTAAGGAATAACATATATACGACATTATGTGACGTCAATAGAAGATGGTTTTGTGAAAGGGACTGGGTGATAGAGTTGTACGAATGATGTATTGTCTTCAGTGGTTAATTCCGTTGTTATTGATTCCAAAACCGATAAATCCAGCTCTTCTTCAAAATCATGTTATGTTTATGGTACTGTATTTAACCGGTTTCTTTTTGGAACGAAAGCCTTGTACGATCTGTAGCTTTGTGTTTCTGGCAGCTCTCTTCCTCATTTGCTATAACAACTATGGCAATTGCATCTTTTCCTTCTTCACCGACTGCGATTCCGTCAGGTGTGGACAAAAATGATTTCTTCGATTAATAATACGGATTCTGTGATAATAATAAACTGGCTTCCAACTATGGATATGTTTTATTCCGTAAGAATTTAAGAAGATGGAGTCAAATCTTTGAACAAAAAATTAAAAAAAAAAAAAAGTTTTCATTGCTAAGAATATCCAACATCCCTGTTTAAGTATGGTACATTTTAAAATTCATTTATTTTTGTTTTTTTAATGTGCAATATGAATCTTTGATGATATTGTATAATATATTAAGAATAAATAGATGATGATAATCCATTTCATGCAATGTTTTGAAAAATTGCTTTTTAACTTTACTATTTAATTCAATTTATTATATTAATTAGAATGAAATGATTGATATTTTAAAATAAAAATAATCAGTTTTCTAAAATCAATATATTTTTAGCATATTGCTTTGTATATTATATATACAGTATAATATTGTGATTGTTCTGTTTGAACTTTTGTAAGTACACTACATATGTTCCTAAGTATTGTAATTATTACAGATAAAATAATTTCAGATATTTTACTATCTGAAATTAATGTACAAAGATTTAAGTGAATTTAAATAATATTTGATGAGATAGGATTGTTTATGTATTACTCTATTTGAATAATTCATATTTTGTGTTAATTCCTTTAAATTATTTGAATATTGGTAATTTCATTAATCAAAAAGCTTAGTTTCAATAAGTATAATTTAAGTATTTCTTAAAATTAAATGTAAAAAAATGTTTATAAGTATGTAATTTATACATATCAAAAGGATTTATATCGAATTGTAAAATATGAAAATGGAAAATTCAATTAAAGTAAGAATATAACAGAATATTTCAGAAATATATTATTATAAAAACGTTGTAAACAACAAAACATGTAAAAAAAAAATGGTTGCCAATTTTACATAATTTTTTTATGACAAATAATATTATTGTAAATAACTTGTCATTAATGAAACAGTTTGATCATTTGAAAGACAATTCTAAAGGGTATGTAACACTGAAGACAAAATTTTGTATGATTCAATAACAAAAACGATTATCAATGTTAATTTAATGGTTATGTTAAATTCAAAATATTTATCAAAGTTGAATGAATATAAATTTATCTGAATTTGAATTTTATATATTCTATGGTTTTGGGAAAATATTGAAATTAAAAATATTTGTTTTAACAAATATGTTTGGCCATTTTCAATTTAATTCTATTAAAATATGTTTATATATTTTAATTTTAAAATTGACTTATTCTAATAGTGTCTATTATAAGATTTTTGATACAGCTGAAGAAATTTGAATTTTTATTGTACAAATATTCCATTCAAAGTACATTTTTATTGCATTAATTTTTGAATTATTAAAAATATATATATTTAAATAAAATATTAAATAAGCTATTCCATAGTTTATTAGTAAGCAAGTTAAAGCAAATACAGGTGTGTTAATATTGTTTCAAGCACAAATGTTTCCTTACAAAAGAGTTTTATTTTTAAAAGGCTTTGATGTAAGTCAATAAAATTTTTAAATATGAAGTACACATGGCTGAGTTATAAGTCTGTCAACATTTCTAAGCATGGTATTTGAAATTCATTCAGATTATAGTAAAATCTCTTAAAACAGCAATATAAAGTAATATAAAATGAAAACTACTGTACAGAATACCAGGTGACTAATTAAAATATTCCAATTCATGCCTGTATAGAAGATATTTAGAAATTCAAATGCAACTAAATCTGGTATGATTTCTAGGGAGAATTCTTTTCTTTCTAAGGGGAGCTGCTGGTTGAGACTTGGCAACGATGTTTTTATGAGGTGCAATCAAAAAGTTCCAAGATAACCTGCATGCAGCGAGAGAGTCACGTGTTCTTGATTCAGTATACAAAGTGGAAATATGCTATGTTGGTTGGAGATTGTGTTACTATAGATTTCCATCGACTTTCTAGTACACCTTTGAGATCTCATCGTGGATCTAAAACTGGAGCAGAGAGCTAACATCAAATTTTGTATGAAATTGGAGAAATAAGTAATATAGACTCTTGAAATGCTTCGGGAAGTCTACGGCAATGAATAACGTGTTTCTAGTGGCACGTGCGCTTCAAAAGGGGCGAACGTCACTAGAGGACGAGGAAAAGTCAGGCCAACCCTCCACAATCCCGGAACTGTTGAGAACATTCGATGTCGTGCAGGAGGATAGTCAGATAACCATTAAGAACATTGTTGCTAAGGTCAATGTGTTGCGTGGAACAGTTCAGGCAAACTTGACGCTGAATTTAACATGCGTCACATTGCAGCAAAGTTTGTGCCCACGCTTGGTTCTTAATCCCCAAGAAAAAGGCGCAGTGTGTTCAAGTCTGTGGGGATTCAGCAAACGTCGGCAAACTTGTGATGATCCCTGTGACTTTTTCCAAAAGAGGAAATTCAAGTTGAAGGGTCACTGTGTCAAAATGGTGTCGTTTCAACTTAAATTTCAGAAAAGACATCCAGCGCGTATCGCAGTTGGTGCCTGGCACCCTTCAAGATTGGTGCTTCCAGAGAGGAAATCCCGTTTGAGCATTTCTTTTTTAGCAGAAACGCTAGAATCGGTGCAACGATGAGACTATTTTGAAGGTGATGACTGTCAAAGTTAAATAAAGTATGTTGTTTTCTTTTTACACTTCCAGTCTCGAAACTTTTTTATCGCACCTCATACTTCACATTTTGTTTGAATAAAATCAACTTGAAATGTCTTTAGATAAAAAGCATATCAGGCATATTATGCTTTATGAGTTTCGGAAAGGATTCAACACCATACAAATATATATATATATATATATGTGTATATATATAATGTACGGGAAAAATGCTCCTAAACTTTTAACCTGCCAAATGTGGTTTAAAAAATTTACTTAAATGGCACTTTAGCACTTTATTTCAAAAAAACATGCAATTTTTGTGATTTTTTAAGATTTTTCAATTTTTGGTCGTTTCTCTATTTTTTGTCCAGTATTATTTCTCTACTACTGATGTGTTTAATAATTGTAAACATAAAAATACAAATACGGTTTAAATATATACAATATAAGTATAAATAATAATAAATACTCGCATGTAATTAAAGCTATGAACTTCTAATCGGCAATATTTTTATCGCAAGGATATAGCAAAACGTTTTGACTTGAAATTAACCTAAAATTGAGTAGTCTAGAGTAGGGGTGGCAAACAAGTCGATCGCGAAGCCAATTTTGGTCGATCGCTCACGATGTCTTGACTTAATGTGTTACACTTGTAACCGAACGCAACGCGTGATAACGCGCAAACGCAACTGTAGTGATATCGGACCTCCGCGTCCTCCCTCAGATGCGGTATTGTTGGTCCATGTGCAATCGGGGAATAAGAAATGTAGACAAAGGGTCGTAAAACCGAAAAGCACAAAGGCAGGAAGAGGGACAGAGAGAGGAGGGGTGAAGTGGTGGTCCCGAAAGTGACAACATTGAGTTTCAATTTTTCTTCTGTTTAAAATATAAGTACCTTTTCTTCATGTTTTAAATTAAATTGTGGCTTTTCTTACCTATCTAAACATAGTATGTATTTCACACCTCCCCCGCCACTTAAACTTTTTTTTTAAACTCTTTCCGCCCTGTGGGCACTAAGAGGGCCTCTTTTTGCAAGTCCATTATGAGTTCGGCCAGGCCCACAATGGGGCTGCCGGGTGGTGAGGGACGGGGCCCGACATATCCGAACAGACCACCCCGAAAAATTCCTGGGGATTTTTCGACCCGTTCGGATTCGAACCCGGGTCCCCCAGAGCGGTAGGCTGCCACCTTGACCGCTCGGCCGTCCGGCCGCTCGCCACTTAGACTGTGCCTACAACAAATCGATCGCGACACATTTTTAAGATAAAAAGTAGATGTTATACACACAAAAGTTGGCCACCCCTGGTCCAGAGCAATTATCTAAAATATAAAAAAACTGGATCTTAACAGTCAACCTGATCAATCCCAAAAAAGCCGACATTCAGATCTCGAAATACTCTCACCGAAGTACTGTAGACTGCCAGAACCAGTCATTGATCATAATGGCCAAAAAGATTTAAAAAAGAATTTCCAGTGCTCGGTTTTTTTGAGCCCAAACTTTTTAACGATCTGAGAAAGATCACATTTTTGCCCCAGGATCACTATCAAAAATTTTACAGGCTTGGGCAAGGAGTCAATTCCAACGACACAGAGGAACTTTCTGCCTGCAAGCAAAGGCCCCAAGTTTCAACATGCTTCTTAAGCTGTTATTCTTATCGACGAGAAGCAGACTAATCTTACAGACTCCCAAAGAAAATTACATAGACCAAACCGAGAAAGGTCGATTTCCTCCACAGAAAATATCAAATTTGATCTGATAAATTAGAAGAGATACAGGCGTTCGTATCAGAAATGATGGCCACTTTAGTTTTGCATCAACTACGTCCTCAGCTCTCTTACAACTCTAGGACGCTTAGGTTTAATACCAATGGAAAAGAGCGTGCTCAAAGCCGAGGCAAAATTGTGCCTACAAATGATGCCTCCTACTTTGGAATTCGCGTGTATGTTTCTGTTAGTTTGAACACACCGCAGCACTAACATGAGAAAACCCCACCGAGACACTGCAGCAAAGATCACTAAGTTCTGCAAACACATTGGAGGAGAAAATATAACCCCGCTTTGTTCACATTCTTGTCATTCCAGTACCTACTCGTGATTGGTCATTCGACCGAGTAATTGGTTTCTTAGCGGTTTGC